TGTGGTTTACATCTAATTTTAATCGAATATTTTATTATACAGGTAATGATACAATTACTTCTCAGTGTGAATCACTGCAAAATAATAATGGTACAAGACAATGGCTCATTATTACTTTATTCTTGAATTTCTACTAGATCTAGGCACTCCTAGCTTCAATGTTACTATTATTGCAAATAGTACTACTAATGATTGCAATGATAGTTGTTGTACTAATATCACAATTTTTATACAACTGGTAAGTATAAGAAACAAAATTTAATGTCTATTATATAAGTACTGTAGGTATTGAACACATCAGACCCACAGTATGCAAATCTAAGCTATAATATATCATATGACTCTATCACTGTTAATGAAGAATCAATGATAACAAATGAAGGAGAATGGAACAAGAATATACAGCTACCTCATAATGAAATGCACTATTCTGATTCTGAACAGGCAAAAAGTACGTAGACTAGTATAGAATTTATGGCATCATGTTAGTGTTCTTATATTGGGCATTTTGTAGATCAATGTAAAATGACAATTTCTGAAAGTAATTCTGCTAGCTCTTGTCCAATGGAGGATTGTGAAAAACTAAGTGGAGGATGTATTGCAGCAATTTCTGTATTAGGAGTGCTGATGGCAATAGCTGTAATAGTCTGCTCAATAATATTAGGTAAAAATGTTTGCATTGTTCAAAACAAGTGTATTAGCTGAAACTAAACTTTCTTTATGAATCTAATGATGGGTACTGGCAGTCATTTGTATTATTTGAAACTAAACTGTTAAATTTGAAAATCCTACTTTTAGTCTGAGGGCATTTTGACCATTAAATTAATTTCAAATAGAAATTTTAATATAGGTAGCTAATTAATTAGTCTTGGCTCCAGTAGTGGGTTGGATCTAGCATAGGAGATCATACTAGTTCATGTGTTGTGTTTAGTTTTACAATGCTTTTAATGATAAAATGTCATTCAGTATAACATCATGCAAATAAGCATTATGTAGCATATTTTATATATTGACATAGGTCTAGTATGCAAAAAACCGGTAAACACAGGTAGAAATAGATCAGTGAACTCAAATGAAACTGAACCGAAGAGCCAAGATGATGATAAACCAGATGGAAACGACCAGATAAAAACGAACCAGATGGAAATGCACCAGATCAGTGAGCCAAGGTGAAACAAACAAATGAACCCAGATGGAAAACTATAACAAGCAGCAGAAAAATGAAATATGCATATTACTTTTTGTCATTATAGAAATTAGATAATTAGAAAATTATTTGCAACTAGACTATATGATCAACTATTCTAGAGCTATCATTATTTTTCAGTAATAATCACTTTTAGCTTATTAGAAGCAATAATTTTTAGTCTCTAATGACAACAAAACTCTGTTTTATCTTCTGGGTTTGTAGCTGGTTAACAAAATTTTGTAAAATAAATTCTAACAAATATTTATAAAAAAGGAAAAATGAACTAGCTAAATGTAGGGTGGTATTGTTATTGCCTTCAAAATAGTGCATGTATTTACACCCAATTTTGTCACTAGTATACTTTATGTATTAGTAGTATTTTATTTTATGGTAAATAGATCTATATACTTTATGAATAATTGTATCTTAATTCAATATCAGTGTCAGTCACCAACAGGAAATGATAAAGAGAATGAAGGTGGTGGCTCAAGCTCAGGAGCTGTGGCAGGTATTGTCATTGGAGTCATATTAGGAACAATACCTGAGAATATTCTTTGTATATTCTTTGTATATTGCAAATAGTAAATTAACTTGATTGATTCTTATTCATTTTTCTGCTCTTGTTTTACTCCTTTTTGTTCTGAGTTGAACTTTGTTGTTTTACAACAACTTACAGCAATTGAATTGTTTCATCCAGTTATGTTCCTCAATACTGTTGCATTACTATTAGGAGTGGAACTTATTCTACTCTACTCTGGATTGGGAGGTAAGCCATTAAGACTATTTAATGATAATAGATTTACACACTATTCATTTTACAGATGGTATTATCACTGACTTTCAATGTACTGATGGGCCAGTATGTGCAAGGGATAGGGTAAAATGCAGGTGCACATCAGATACTGGTACTCTAGACTGGTTCATATGTTATGGTCCAGTAGACCATGTAATGTGGAGCCAAAACCTAAGTGTTTCATTTAATAAAGCTACAGCAAATGAAGAATATCATTATGGTTATAATTTCACATTTAATACGACTTATACAGGTCTAAACACTTCAATACTGACCTTTAATCTTAATCACTCTGAGAGTGTACGCATTGAATGTGCAAATGGAGATTATGGTGATAAAATGAACACAACAGTTACTGATTTAGGTTAGTGTATGCATGCAATACCGTATAGCCAAAAAATTTCGTGAGGAATAAATTTTCGTATTTTCGTGATTACTGCTTGCATCACGAAAAATTAAACCCCCGAAAATAAATATTAATTGAGAGGCGTGGTTAACCACGCCTTAGACTAATAAACGTGCCCTCGTGTCAAGTCGTGTTCTCGGTCAAGCTGATGTCTCTGTTACTCTGTATTGCTATTTTAAGCATACTGCCTAGGTCAAAGATGATCTTCCCCATCTCTGGTGTCCACACTGATTTGTAGACATGGTGCCCCTTGACACAAGAGTCCGTCTCAAACCATGTTTTAATTAAATAAGGCGTGGTCATTATTATTATTATTATTAAAATAAAATCACGAAAATATTTATCACGGAATTTAAAATTTCTCCATAAATTTCATTATTCACGAAATTTTAAGCCTCGAAAATTTTTGGCTATACAGTAATTATTAGACAACTGTATTTTGTTAAAGCTTGTTACAATGTAAAATTGGCAATACAGGGTACAATGAAACTGCAATAATCACATAAGAGTTATATAAATGTGTTGTTTTTAAAGTAAAAAAGAACAACTGAATATGTTACCCTTTTCAATGTTTTGTATATGCATAATAGGTTATTATGCAAAAGCACCGACAAACTTAACAACAACCTTCAATGGAAGTGGAGTTACTTTACAATGGGAGGACACTAGGAATAACTGTACTTCTACTGAGTATCAAGTGACTGTTATTAGTTGTTCATGTACATCAACCGAGTGTATTGATGTATAATACTAGCAAGACAGCTTTACA